AAGAAAGAAAGAAAAAATTAATTAAGAAAAGAGAAGGGACAGAGTTCAGCAGAAAGGTTGGAATTGTTTAAAGAAAGAAAAGAAAGAAAGAAAGAAAAGAAAGAAAGAAAGGAATTAAGGTAGAAAAGAGAAGGAACTGAGTCTGTATAGAAAGGTTGGAATTGTTTAAAAAAGAAAGAAAGAAAGAAAGAAAGGAATTAAGGTAGAAAAGAGAAGAAGCAGAGTCTGTATAGAAAGGTTGGAATTTTTAAAGAAAGAAAGAAAAAAAAAGGAAAAAAAAAAAGTTAGAAAAAGAGAAGGAACAGAGTCTGTATAGAAAGGTTGGAATTGTTTAAAAAGAAAGAAAGAAAAAAGAAAGAAAGAAAGAAAGAAAGAAAGAAAGGAATTAAGGTAGAAAAGAGAAGGAACAGAGTCTGTATAGAAAGGTTGGAATTGTTTAAAGAAAGAAAAAAAGAAAGAATTAAGGTAGAAAAGAGAAGGAACAGAGTCTGTATAGAAAGGTTGAATTGTTTAAAGAAAGAAAGAAAGAAAGAAAGAAAGAAAGAAAAGAAAGGAATTAGAGTAGAAAAGAAAGAAACAGAGTCTGTATAGAAAGGTTGGAAATTATTTAGAAAGAAAGAAAGAAAGAAAAATTAGTAGAAGGAAGGAACTGAGTCTGTATAGAAAGGTTGGAATTGTTTAAAGAAAGAAAGAAAGAAAGAAAGAAAGAAAGAAAGAAAAAAGAAAGGGATTAGAGTAAGTAGAAAAGAAAGAGTCTGTAAAAAGGTAAAAGAAAAAAAAAGAAAGGAATTAAGGCAGAAAAGAGAAGGAAAGAAAAGAAAGGTTGGAATTGTTTAAAGAAAGAAAGAAAGGCAGGAATTAAGAGAAAGGAAGGAACAGAGTCTGTATAGAAAGGTTGGAATTGTTTAAAGAAAGAAAGAAAGAAAGAAAGAAAGAAAGAAAGAAAGAAAAGGAATTAAGGTAGAAAAGAAGAACAGAGTCTGTATAGAAAGGGGTGAATTTTAAAAAAGAAAAGAAAGAAAAAAAGGAATAGAAAAGAGAAGGAACAGAGTCTGTATAGAAAGGTTGGTTTAAATTGAAAGAAAGAAAAGAATTAAAGAAAAGAAAGAAACAGAAAGTATAGAAAGGAAGGAAAAAGAAAGAAAGAAAGAAAGAAAGAAAAGGAAAAAAGAAAAGAGAAGGAACTGAGTCTGTATAGAAAGGTTGGAAAAAGAGAAGGAAGAAAGAAAGGTTGGAATTGCTTCTAAAAAGAAAGAAATTAAGGTTAGAGAAAAGAGAAGGAACAGAGTCTGTATAGAAAGGTTGAATTGTTTAAAGAAAGAAAGAAAGAAAGGAATTAGGTAGAAAAAGAGAAGGAAAGAGTCTGGAAAGGTTGGAATTGTCTTAAAGAAAGAAAGGCAAATTAAGGCAAAAAAGAAATTAGAGTCTGTAGAAAAGGAAGGAAACAGAGTCTGAAAGAAAGAAAGAAAGAAAGAAAGAAAGAAAGAAAGAAAGGAATTAAGGTAGAAAAGAGAAGGAACAGAGTCTGTAGAAAGGTTGGAAATGTTTAAAAAGAAAGAAAGGAATTAAGAAAGAAAGAAAGAAAGAAAGAAAGAAAGAAATTAAAGAAAGAAAAAGAAAGGAATTAAGGTAGAAAAGAGAAGGAAATTGAGTCTGTATAGAAAGGGTGGAATTGTTTAAAGAAAAAAGAAAGAAAGGAAATTAAGGTAGAAAAGAGAAGGAAACAGAGTCTGTATAGAAAGGTTGGAATTGCTTAAAGAAAGAAAAGAAAGGCAAAAAGAAAGAAAAGAAAGAAAGGAAAGGAATTAAGGTAGAAAAGAGAAGAACAGAGTAAAGAAAGGTTGGAATTGTTTAAAGAAAAAGAAAGAAAAAAGAAAAGAGAGAAACAGAAAGGAAAGGCTAAGTTTGTAAAGAAAAAAAGAGAAGGAAATAAGAGAGAAGTCTGAGTAGAAAGGGTGGAATTGTTTAAAGAAAGAAAGAAAGAAAGAAAAAGGTAAAGAGAAGAACAGAGTCTGTATAGAAAGGTTGGAATTGTTTAAAGAAAGAAAGAAAAAGGAAAAGGTAGAAAAGAGAAGGAAGAAAAAGGCTGGAATTGTTTAAAGAAAAAAGAAAGAAAGAAACAGTCTGTATAAAAGAAAGGAATTGTTAAGGCAGAAAAGAAAGGAATTGTTTAGCTCCAGAAAGGTTGGAAAGAAAGAAAAAGGAATTAAGGTAGAAAAGAGAAGGAACAGAGTCTGTATAGAAAGGTTGGAATTGTTTAAAGAAAGAAAGAAAGAAAGGAATTAAGGTAGAAAGAGAAGGAACAGAGTCTGCAGAAAGGTTGAATTGTTTAAAGAAAGAAAGAAGAAAGGAATTAAGGTAGAAAAAGAGAAGGAACAGAGTCTGTATAGAAAGGTTGGAATTGTTTAAAAGAAAGAAAGAAAGAAAGGAATTAAGGTAGAAAGAGAAGGAAACAGAGTCTGTATAGAAAGGGTGGAAATTGTTTAAAGAAAAAAGAAAGAAAGGAATTAAGAAAGAAAAGAAAGGAATTAAGGTAGAAAAGAAAAGGAACAAATTGTTTAAAGAAAAGAAAGGGTGGAAAAGAAAAAGAAAGAAAAGAAAGGAAGGAATTTAAGAAAGAGAAGGAAGGAACAGAGTCTGTATAGAAAGGTTGGAATTGTTTAAAGAAAGAAAGAAAGAAAGAAAGAAATTAGAAAAAAAGAGAAGGAACAGAGTCTGTATAGAAAGGTTGGAATTGTTTAAAAAAGAAAGAAAGAAAGAAAGAAAGAAATTAAGGAAAGAAAAGCAATTAGAAAAGAGAAGGAAACAGAGTCTGTATAGAAAGGTTGAATTGTTTAAAGAAAAAGAAAGAAAGAAAGAAAGAAAGAAAGAAAGAAAGAAAGAATTAAGGTAGAAAAAGAGAAGGAACAGAGTCTGTATAGAAAGGTTGGAATTGTTTAAAGAAAGAAAGAAAAGAAAGAAAGAAAGAAAAAGAAAGAAAGGAAAAAGAAAAAAGGAAAGAAAAGAAAGGCTGGAATTGAAAAAAGAAAGGAAAGAAAGGGAATTAAGGTAGAAAAGAGAAGGAACAGAGTCTGTATAGAAAGGTTGGAATTGTTTAAAGAAAGAAAGAAAGAAAGAAAGAAAAGAAATAAAGAAAGGAATTAAGGTAGAAAAGAGAAGGAAACAGAGTCTGTATAGAAAGGTTGGAATTGTTTAAAGAAAGAAAAGAAAAAGAAAGAAAGAAAGAAAAAGAAAAGAAAGAAAAAAGAGAAGGAAAGGAATTAAGGTAGAAAAGAGAAGGAACAGAGTCTGTATAGAAAGGTTGAATTGTTTAAAGAAAGAAAGAAAGAAAGTCTGAAAAGAAAAAAAGAAAGAAAGAAAGAAAAGAAAAAGAATTAGAAAAGAAAGAAGAGTCTGTATAGAAAGGTTGGAATTGTTTAAAGAAAAGAAAGAAAGAAAGAAAGAAAGAAAAAAAAAGGAAAGGAATTAAGGTAGAAAAGAGAAGGAACAGAGTCTGTATAGAAAGGTTGGAATTGTTTAAAGAAAGAAAGAAAGAAAGGAAAGAAAGGTAGAAAAGAGAAGGAACAGAGTCTGTATAGAAAGGTTGGAATTGTTTAAAGAAAGAAAGGCAAAGAAAGAAAGAAAGAAAGGAATTAAGGTAGAAAAGAGAAGGAACAGAGTCTGTATAGAAAGGTTGAAATTGTTTAAAGAAAGAAAGAAAGAAAGGAATTAAGGTAGAAAAGAGAAGGAACAGAGTCTGTATAGAAAGGTTGGAATTGTTTAAAGAAAGAAAGAAAAGAAAGGAATTAAGAAGAAAAGAGAAGAGAACAGAGTCTGTATAGAAAGGTTGGAATTGTTTAAAGAAAGAAAGAAAGAAAGAAAGAAAGAAAGAAAAAAAGAAAGAAAGAAAGGAAATTAAGGTAGAAAAGAGAAGGAACAGAGTCTGTAGAAAGGGTGGAATTGTTTAAAGAAAGAAAGAAAGAAAGAAAGAAAGAAAGAAAGAAAGAAAAAAAGAGAAAGAAAGAACAGAGAAAAAAGAAAGAAGGAACTGTATAGAAAGGTTGGAAATTGTTTAAAGAAAGAAAGAAAGAAAGAAAAAGAAAGAAAGAAAGAAAGGAATTAAGGTAGAAAAGAGAAGGAACAGAGTCTGTATAGAAAGGTTGGAAGAGTTGTTTAAAGAAAGAAAGAAAGAAAGAAAAAGAAAAAAGAAGGAAACAGAGGTAGAAAAGAGAAGGAAAGAAAGTCTGAAAGAAGAGAAAGGTAGAAAGGAATTGAGTTAAAGAAAGGTTGAAAGAAAGAAAGAAAGAAAGAAAGAAAGAAAGAAAGAAAGAAATTAAGGTAGAAAAGAGAAGGAACAGAGTCTGTATAGAAAGGTGGAATTGTTTAAAAAAAAAGAGAAAGAAAAGAAAGGAATTAAGGTAGAAAAGAGAAGGAACAGAGTCTGCAAGAAAGGTTGAATTGTTTAAAGAAAGAAAGAAAGAAAGGAATTAAGGTAGAAAAGAGAAGGAAACAGAGTCTGTATAGAAAGGCTGGAATTGTTTAAAGAAAGAAAGAAAGAAAGAAAAAAGAAAGAAAAGAAAGAAAGAAAGAAAGGAATTAAAAGAAAGTAGAAAGAGAAGGAAACAGAGTCAGAGTATAGAAAGGTTGGAAATTGTTTAAAGAAAAGAAAGTTGTTGTTGTTGAAAGAAAGGAATTAAGGGTAGAAAGAGAAGGAACAGAGTCTGTATAGAAAGGGTGAATTGTTTTAAAGAAAGAAAAGAAAGTTGTTAAGTAGAAAAGAGAAGGAACAGAGTCTGTAAAGAGAAGGAAAAGAAAAAAGAAAGAAAGAAAAGAAAGAAAGAAAGAAAGAAAGAAAGAAATTAAGGTAGAAAAGAGAAGGAACTGAGTCTGCATAGAAAGGTTGGAATTAAGTTTAGAAAGAAAGAAAGGCAGGAATTAAGGTAGAAAAAGAGAAGGAACAGAGTCTGTATAGAAAGGAAATTGAAATTGTTTAAAAAAGAAAGAAAAAGAAAAGAAAGGAATTAAGGTAGAAAAAGAGAAGGAAACAGAGTCTGTATAGAAAGGTTGGAATTGTTTAAAGAAAGAAAGAAAAAAGGAATTAAGGTAGAAAAGAGAAGGAACAGAGTCTTAGAAAGGTTGGAAAGGTTTAAAGAAAGAAAGAAAGAAAGAAAGAAAGAAAAGAAAGGAAAAGGAATTAAGAAAGTAAGAAAAGAGAAGAAACAGAAATTCTTTAAAGAAAGGTTGTTAAATTGTTTAAAGAAAAGAAAAGAAAGAAAGGAAAAAGAAAGAAAGAAAGAAAGAAAGAAAGAAAGAAAGGAAATTAAGGTAGAAAAAGAGAAGGAAATAGAGTCTGTAAGAAAAGGGTTGGAATTGTTTAAAAGAAAGAAAGAAAGAAAGGAATTAAGGTAGAAAAGAGAAGGAACAGAGTCTGTATAGAAAGGTTTGAAATTGTTTAAAGAAAGAAAGGAAAGAAAAAAGAAAGAAAGAAAGAAAGAAAGAAAGGAATTAAGGTAGAAAAGAGAAGGAACAGAGTCTGTATAGAAAGGTTGGAATTGTTTAAAGAAAGAAAGAAAGGCAGGAATTAAGGTAGAAAAGAGAAGGAACAGAGTCTGTATAGAAAGGTTGGAATTGTTTAAAGAAAAAGGCAGGAAAAGAAAAGAGAAAGAAAGAAGAAAAAGAATTAAGAGTAAAGAAAGAAAGAGTTGAATAGAAAGGCAAATTGTTTAAAGAAAGAAAGGAAGAAAGGAATAGAAAAGAGAAGGAACAGAGTCTGTATAGAAAGGTTGGAAATTGTTTAAAAAAGAAAGAAAGAAAGAAAGGAATTAAGGTAGAAAAGAGAAGGAACAGAGTCTGTATAGAAAGGCTGGAATTGTTTTAAAGAAAGAAAGAAAGAAAAGAAAAAAGAAGGAAACAAAGAAAAGAAAGAAAGAAAGAAAGAAAGGAATAAGGTAGAAAAGAGAAGGAACAGAGTCTGTAGAAGAAAGGTTGGAATTGTTTAAAGAAAGAAAAGAAAGAAAGGAAAGGAATAAGGTAGAAAAGAGAAGGAACAGAGTCTGTATAGAAAGGTTGGAATTGTTTAAAGAAAGAAAAAAGAAAGAAAGGAATTAAGGTAGAAAAGAGAAGGAAACAGAGTCTGTATAGAAAGGTTGGAATTGTTTTAAAGAAAGAAAGAAAGAAAAGAAAGAAAGAAAGGTAGAAAAGAGAAGGAACAGAGTCTGTATAGAAAGGTTGAATTGTTTAAAGAAAGAAAAGAAAGGCAGGAATTAAGGTAGAAAAGAGAAGGAAACAGAGTCTGTATAGAAAGGTTGGAATTGTTTAAAGAAAGAAAGAAAAAAAGAAAGAAAGAAAGAAAGAAAGAAAGAAAGGAATTAAGGTAGAAAAGAGAAGGAAACAGAGTCTGTTAGAAAGGTGGAATTGTTTAAAGAAAGAAAGAAAAGAAAGGAATTAAGGTAGAAAAGAGAAGGAAACAGAGTCTGTATAGAAAGGTTGGAATTTAAAGAAAGAAAGTTGTTGTTGACCTAAGGTAAAAGAAAGAAAGGAAAAAGGTAGAAAAGAAAGGAATTGCTTGAAAGAAAGAAAGAAAAAGAAAGAAAGAAAGAAAGGAATTAAGGTAGAAAAGAGAAGGAACAGAGTCTGTATAGAAAGGTTGGAATTGTTTAAAGAAAGAAAGAAAGAAAAAGGAATTAAGGTAAAAAGAAAGAAAGAAAAGAAAGGAATTAAGGAAAGAAAGAAAAGAAAGAAAAGAAAGTAAAAAAGGAATTAAAGTTGCTTAAAGAAAAGAAACAGAAAGAGAAGAACAGAGTCTGTAAGAAAGAAAGAAAATTGTTTAAAGAAAGAAAGAAAGGAATTAAGGTAGAAAAGAGAAGGAACAGAGTCTGTATAGAAAGGTTGGAATTGTTTAAAGAAAGAAAGAAAGAAAGAAAGAAAGAAAGAAAGAAAGAAAGAAAGAAAGAAAGGAATTAAGGTAGAAAAGAGAAGGAACAGAGTCTGTATAGAAAGGTTGGAATTGTTTAAAGAAAGAAAGAAAGAAAGGAAATTAAGGTAGAAAAGAGAAGGAAGAAAGAGTCTTATAGAAAGGAGAATTGTTTTAAAGAGAAAGAAAGAAAGAAATTAAAGAAAAGAAAGAAAAGAAAGAAAAGAAAGGAAATTAAGGTAAAAAGAAAAGGAACAGAGTCTAAGGTAGAAAGGAAGGAACAGAATTGTTTAAAGAAAGAAAGAAAGAAAGAAAGAAAGAAAGAAATTAAGGCAGGAATTAAGAAAAGAGAAGGAACAGAGTCTGTATAGAAAAGGTTGGAATTGTTTAAAGAAAGAAAGAAAAGAAAGAAAGAAAGAAAAAGAAAGAAAGAAAGAAAGAAAAGAAATTAAGGTAGAAAAGAGAAGGAACAGAGTCTGTAAAGAAAGGGGTGAAAAGTTTAAAGAAAGAAAGAAAGAAAGGAATTAAGGTAGAAAAAGAGAAGGAACAGAGTCTGTATAGAAAGGTTGGAATTGTTTAAAGAAAGAAAAGAAAGAAAGAAAGAAAGAAAGAAAGAAAGAAAGAAAGGAATTAAGGTAGAAAAAGAGAAGGAACAGAGTCTGTATAGAAAGGTTGGAATTGTTTAAAGAAAGAAAGAAAGAAAGGAAAGAAAGAAATTAGAAAAGAGAAGGAACAGAGTCTGTATAGAAAGGTTGGAAATTGTTTAAAGAAAGAAAAGAAAGAAAGAAAGAAAAGAAAGAAAGAAAGAAAGAAAGGAATTAAGGTAGAAAAGAGAAGGAACAGAGTCTGTATAGAAAGGTTGGAATTGTTTAAAGAAAGAAAGAAAGAAAGAAAGAAAAGGTAGAAAAGAAAGAAACAGAAAGAAAGGAATTGTTTAAAAAGAGAAAGAAAGAAAATAGAAAGGTTGAAATTGTTTAAAGAAAGAAAAAAAGAAAGAAGGAAAGAAAGAAAGAAAGAAAGGTTGGAATTGTTTAAAGAAAGAAAAGGAAAGAAAGAAAGTAAAGAAAGAGGGAAAAAAAAGAAAGAAAGGAATTAAGGTAGAAAAGAGAAGGAAAGAGAGTCTGTATAGAAAGGTTGGAATTGTTTAAAGAAAGAAAGAAAGAAAGAAAGAAAGAAAGAAAGAAAGAAAGAAAGAAAATAAAGAAAGAGAAGGAAGAGTCTGTATAGAAAGGTTGGAATTGTTTAAAGAAAGAAAGAAAAAGAAAGAAAGAAAGAAAGAAAGAAAGGTGAAAAAGAGAAGGAACAGAGTCTGTATAGAAAGGTTGGAATTGTTTAAAGAAAGAAAGAAAAGAAAGGAATTAAGGTAGAAAAGAGAAGGAAAGAGTCTGTATAGAAAGGTTAATTGGAATTGTTTAAAGAAAGAAAGAAAGAAAGGAAAAAAGGTAGAAAAGAGAAGGAAACAGAGTCTGTATAGAAAGGTTGAAATTGTTTAAAGAAAAAAGAAAGAAAGAAAGAAAGAAAGAAAGAAAAGAAAGAAAGAAAGAATTAAGGTAGAAAAGAGAAGGAACAGAGTCTGTATAGAAAGGTTGGAATTGTTTTAAAAGAAAGAAAGAAAGAAAGAAAAAAGAAAAGAAAGAAAGAAAAAAGAAAAAAGAAGGTAGAAAAGAGAAGGAACAGAGTCTGTATAGAAAGGTTGGAATTGTTTAAAAAAAAAAAGAAAGAAAGAAAAAAGAAAGAAAAAGAAAAGAGAAAGGAAGGAACAGAGTCTGTATAGAAAGGGAATTTTAAAGAATTGAAAGAAAGAAAGAAAAAAGAAAGAAAAAAAGAAAGAATTAAGGTAGAAAAGAGAAAAATTAAGGAACAGAGTCTGTAAGAAAGGTTGGAATTAAGGTAGAAAAGAAAGAACAG